AAGAAGAGGGAAGGGGTTGAGGGAAAGGATGACAAAGAAAGGACCCAGAGAAAGGACAGAGAGCATTGGCTTTCACAGTTTCCTTTTATATGTATCTGGCAGAAGAGAAAGCCTGCTGACATTTAAATTCAAGGTAGATATGGAAGTTCAGAAAACAAATTACCAAAAAAACCTACTTTATCAGAGCCCTCTCCTCACAGGGTGAAGTAAGAATCATGCGGATGGCTAACCATCCTATTTCTCTAATATCTGGGCAAGATGCTAAGAATATTAGCGAATCTCTTCTCTGGATTTAACCACCATCTTGGTTTGACTGTTAGGGTCATCAATGGTTCCTGAAAGCCACTGTTTCATCCAGTGTCTGAGGTGAGGGACTACCTGGCTCTAGAACACAGTTGTTGGCTGTATACCACTTTGGGTGGGCCTGGTTAAATAGCATTTGAACAATAAAAGAAAGCATTTTAACAATTTTTGTGATTCAGGAAATAAAATTTCTGAAAGAACAATTTACTTTTTAACTCCATGACAAGAATTCATATGAGAAAACAAAATATAGGTAGCTTTGCTTACTAAGTTACAGAAAATGTCTACATTTGGAAAATTTCAAAAAATAGATTTTGTCTGCTACTCAATGATCCTGTAAAATAGTGGGTTCATGGGCTCTGTATGGAGACACTGGGAGCTTAACTAGAAGTTATTTTTTCCTGGAAACCCTACAGAGAAACGAAGAAGTAGTTATAGGCCGATCCAATGTGGTCTGGCTGGTATTAAGACACAGCCATGTTTAGATTTTCTACCCCATTTTTATTTTCCTTCTTTATCAACCAACGGAGAGCTCAATTATTCTCTTTAACATCTTAGATCAAGCGAGTGCTGACTGTACATAGTGGAAGCACACTACTGTAGAAATGCCTGTTCTTTTGCATTTACAGTTTGCTTCCTAATATATATGGGTACTTTACTTGCTTAGCTTGTACCCATGGAGGTTGGGAGAGGTATTGGATGTGGGTGTTGGGAATCAAAATCGGTCCTTTGTTAAGATCAGCCAGTGCTCTCGACCAATGATCCATTACTGTGGTCAATGATTTTTTGTACTTTGAAGTATTTTTAATTGTGGTTTTATCTCAGTGACCCACTATAACCTCTAGGGGTTAAACTTAGCAATGATTAGCATGCCTTTATTTTGGTTGTGTCGATCAGGACCCATAAAGTTCAGATGACTTACCTGAGGCCCTGGCACTTCTGCAGGAGGATTAACTTCCACCTAGGAGAACTTACCTAAGATATTTTAAGGTGGGAAGATGGCTCATTGGATAAAAGCTTGCTGCACAAGCATGAGGGCTTGGTTTTGGATCCACAGGACCTATGTCCAAGCCAGACTCATGTTTCTAGGCATCAGAACGGGGAGGTGGCAGAAGACAGGACAAGCTTACTGGCTAGCCAATCTTGTCTAAAGGGTAAGCTGCAAATTCAGTGACAGGCTGTGTCTAAGAAACAAGGTGGAAAGTGACTGAGGTAGACATCAACGCTGACTTCTTGTCTCTAAACAAGCAAGCATAGGAGATTGTATCTGTACACATGTGCATATATTACACATCCACATGGCACAAAGAAGTAGCATGTATGACAATCTGTTTCTACTCATTAGCAAATTGAATTTAAAGGCAGAGATGAGCCTGTCTGTACTAGGTAAAGAGAATTATTACAGAAAAAAATAGTAGGTTGGGGCATATATAACAAGTTAATTCCTATTGATGACGCTATGTTACTCTTAGGTTAAGAAAGCTGCTGTTATTACATCATTACACTTACAAAGACCAACTCAGCACTGAAATCACTAGAAAAGAAATTGCATGAAGGGAACTCTTTATGGACCATTAACAGTTCTAACAGGTAACAGAGTTCAGCATGGCAGTCTTCTGCTGAGTCAGTATGCCTGCCAAACCCAATTTACAAAACGAGGTTTTGTGGTTGGACTCTGGCTGGCTTCCACAGCTAGTGTTTTGAAAGGATCGCCAGAATTTGGATAAATTAAAGATGCAAAGACCTTTTCCAAGGTACTCTGAACAAATGTCAAGACACTTGAAAATGTCTGATTACTATTAAAAGTGAAAAGTAATCAACTCTTTAGTTAGCATTCAGAAGAAAAGAATCATAGAATGCAAGTAATACATGTAAGAATTCAATGCTACATTTAATAAGAAGTACCTATGAAAACCCTTCATTTGTACCATAGTCCCTTTCACCGTGGTTTTTTCCTATCTTCTCTCTTCCATGTACATAATTTCTCTTCTAATACTACTTCCCCCTCACCCCTCTTTGTCTTTCTCTCTGGGCTTAGTCCTTTGCTTTCACAGTAATATATTAATTCTCTATCACCCAATGCCTTCTTCCTTTCCCCCAAACACTTACTTATGAAAATTTAAATGAGGTAAATATTTTTGCCAGACTCAAAAATCTATATAATGTTATTAGTTAATGATAAATGTATTTGTAGATTATGGGAGGTGGTGTTAGGTATTTTGTTTCCAGATTTTTTTCAATTTTACCAGACAAAATTTTCTAAGAACTGATATAAAGCTTACCATACCAGGTTTATTATGTATATTAGTTCTATTATTTTTCCTTTCTACTTTGATCTCCTTATGAATATTATTTAATAGTTAACATAACAAGAGTTTTACAAGTATTGTGCTACCTCCTCCATTGCTGATGGGAGTGCCAACTTGTTCAGCCACTTTGGAAATCAGTATGGAGATTCCTCAGAAAAATGTTAACAAACATACCACAAGACCCATCAATTACACTCTTGGGCATATATCCAGAAGATACACATTCATACAATAAGGATATCTGTTCCACTATGTTCATAGCAGCATTATTTGTAGTAACCAGAGCTTGGAAGCAACCTAGATGTCCCTCAACCGATGAGTGGATAGAGAAAAATGTGGTACTTTTACACAATGGAGTATTGCTCAGCAGAAAAAAACAATGGAATCCTGAAATTTGCAGGCAAATGGATAGCACCAGAAGAAACCATCCTGAGTGAGGTAACTCAGTCACAAAAAGAGAAACATGGCATGTACTCTCTCATATATGGATTTTAGACATAGATCTGGGGAGTGCCAGCCTACAATCCTACTGCCAGCGAGTCTGGGTAACAAAACCTTCATTCAATGGCTGATGGAAACAGAGGCAGAATCCTACAGCTAAACACTGAGCTGAACTCAAGGAATTCAGTGACAGAGAGGGAGGACTGATGAGCAAAGGGGTTAAGACTGGGCTGGTTTAACCACCAGAAACAGCTGACCTGACAAGGGTTAGCTCTTGAATCCCAGACTGGTGGCTGGGAATCCAGTAAGGGACTGATCAAGACCCCCTGAATGTGGGCATCAGTGAAGAGGCCTAGGCAATCTACTGGGCCTTGGGTAGTAGATCAGTATTTATCCCTAGCATACAAATGGACTTTGGGTACCCATTCCTCAATGAAAGATGCACTCTCACCCTGGACTCTTGGGGGAGGGTCTAGACCTTTCCCTGGATGAAATGATAAGCTATGGACACCCCATGGAGGGCCTCACCCTCCCTGGGGAAATGAGGAGGTATTGAGGGGGTTGGTGGGAGGGCATGGGAGGAGGGGACGGAAAGGGAGAGGGACCTGGGATTGACATATGAAGCAACCTCGTTTCTAATTTAAATTTAAAATAAAAAACATTAAAAAAGTATTGTGTTACATTTTGTAAAATTTCTGCAAGGAGCAATTCCCACTATTATTACAACATAAGGTACTACTGTGATTCCTTTCCAATTTAAACCCGGCCTTTGCTAACGTACTAGATCTCTCTAAAAAGCAGTTAGCACTATTCCTCCACCTGTCGTTTGCAAACACAAAGGTTATGAACACCTCACCTGTTCATGATCCCTAAATACTTAAATTGTTTCTATTAGTATTCAATGCAAGGTAAAATTAAAATTCTATTTTATCTTATCTGATGTGAAACAGACAAATTCCCAGCTGAAGTCCCATTTTTGTTCACTGAAAACTGGCTTCCCTTGTCGGACCTTTGAGAGCAAGAACACACATTTGTAAGACCATGGTGAGGGTAACTGTGGCAATCCTTCAAACATGAATTCCATTTCACTTAAGTCTTGCCAGAGGGGCTCAGGGGTGACCACTAATGAATTTTCCCTTTTGCGTTGTAAGGTAGTATTTCTCTCTCCTTACAACTCCTTTTAGGAATAAAGGACATTACAAAGATGCTTATTTCAACTTATAAAACATCCGCATGCATACTGAATATGTGTGGTCACTGAGATGACCTAAGAATTGGTTGTCACATGATACAGAAGAAGAGAGCTGTGTGCTCCTGTCTTATATCCTGACCTTTTTATTTCAGCAAATGCACATCTCTTGGCTAAAGGGAAAACACTTTTAGAACACACAATTCGACTGTAGACCTGATTCGTGGAGAGAAACCATTCAACACAGTATGTCAGTGTGTGCTACACAGCCAGATCTGAACCATGGCTTGTTTCTTTTGCAGGCTTCCTCTGCAACTTCCTCCTCAGATTCATGCCCAAGCATCTCTGCTCAATGCAGCGCTGCAGCCTGACCAGGTTTCCAGGACTGCTCTTAGTTACTTCTTGGGCACTTCACTTTAAAATAACTGTGATCAAGTTACTGCAACGTTACATTCTTTATCACAATTATAATCTTGTGGGCTGTTCTTGGCATTTTCAAACACGTATACCAGGCATTTGACTATATCCTAATCATGTCTCCCCTCAGAACACCTATCAATTCCTTTCCCAACTTTATTTCCTCTTCCTTATTATTTATTTATTTAATTAGTTATTGTTAACCCATTAGGTAGAATTAAAGCGGTCCGTATGTGGTCACACCACCAGTGAATGCACTGTACAAAAGAGCATTTGACAGACATCAGCGAGGCTAGTGTCAGCAGCTTCTTTCCATATTTGCCAAATCACCAAACACTTACCTGGATAATACCGGGCCAGGCCAGTGGCACTGCCGAACACCTGCCACAGCAACGTAGGGTCTTCATCTCGATTTCTTTTGAAGACTTCATCTAAGGCACTTGTCCAGTTGAGTTCATTTAATACTATGGTCGCTAACATAAACAAGAAAAAATAATAAATTTATTCAAATATATATTAGTATTTTTCCAACCCATGCTACATGTTCTTATTGTCCACTATGAAATACTGTAATTTCCTGGGAAATGAAAAGTTTTAAGCATAGAACTAGGTTTTCCATAATGTATGATGGTAGTCTGATTGACATTTAGACTGTGTAACAGTCTGGAAATCCCACATATTGGGAACATTCAGTAGCATCTTACACCTGTGCTATTAGATAGTAGTGTCATGCCCCCAAGCTGTGAAAAGAAAAAGTGACTTCAAACTTTCTGAAACACTTCTTTGGAATAAAATTACTCGCAGGTACAAAGTACCAAGAGCTCCCTAGACACATAAAGAAAAGAAAGTTGGTTAATATTTCTTGGCTTTCTCAGAGAGGATCTACAATAGATTTTAACAGAGCAATCCTCAAGTTCTATTGATTCTCAGTTGTATACTCATGTAAATTACCTGAGTACCAGATTTAAAAGAACAACAAAAACATGATCACCATTGAGCACCTTTATCAGCTTTGCTTACAAAACACCAAAAACATACATACTGTTTGGTAGAGGAAAAATTCACTGGGACATTTGATAATGTCAATGTTAGAAACTGTGGACTAATGAGCCAATGCCTCATCAATACCATTCAAAGCAATAACATTTTCTCTTTATTCAGTTAGTAACTAGAGCATGTTGGTAATAAGCCATTCTGATGAACTTAGATACTGAATTATAACTACTTAGAGATCTGGATAGGTACTCCAAAAACATATCATTGGCCAGTTTGGAAGAGTATGCAGAAAGAAAATTCCAGATAGAGCATGAGTTAAATCGTATTTAAATAATAACCATAGCACAGTTACATTTCTCTGGGAGTCTGTGTTTGTAGCCGTATACAGTGCCTTACATAGCATATTCAAGGTTCTTGACTTGATTCCAAGCATGGTAGAAACTATGTGTGTTAGCACACATCTATAGTCCCAGCATTTGTGTTGTGGATGTAAGAATCTGAGTTTAAAGTCATCCTTGGAGGCTAACCTGGAATACCTAAGTCATATCTAACAAAAATGACTAGAAGTAATATAATTTTCCTTTGCACAGAAAGTATAGACGATTCATATGTTTCCTAACATGAACAAGCTTCCAGCAGATCAGCAAATGAGGCTGGGGTCAATACACATATGAGAATCACTACTTAGACCATGCTTTAATTATATGTGTTCTCAAGATTAAAGTGATTCTAATTGATGCGAGCCCTTAACTCTTCTGAGCTTGCACATTGATAGCAATGAAGCTTCCTTTAATCACCGAGTTAGCTGGGCTCCAACAGCTTAATATTCTGTGCCATTATTTCATTCACCTCAAAGTATTTTCCAATTCCTGTAATTGTTTTCTCTTCTCTACGACTACAGGAAACAACAAATGCAATCACCATGAAATAATGAACAGGCTGTACAAAGTAAAATGGAAAGAGTGTTTGCCTTTTCATGGGCTTTTTTCCTTCTGCTTGTTTTGTCTTATTCTGATTTGCTTTTTAAAATCTTATTACATTTTATTATTATCCTAGATGCCTGTTTGTTTTCTAAGTGGGGAGAGAAGAGGGGTGGATCCAGATGGGAGTGGAGGTGTGGAGAAACTAAGAGGAGTAGAGAGAGGGAAACCATAATCAGAATACATTATATGAAAAATATATCTATTTTCAACAAAAGAAATCCCCCAATGAAAAGGCACATAAACCTGTAAAAAAAAAAAGAAAGTTACATAGCAAGTTTGTTTATTCATTACTTTCTTTTTTGTTTGTTTTGTTTTTAAAGAAAACAACAAGCACAAAGGAATTATAAAGCCACCCTGGGACCAGCATCCTGATGCAGCTGTCATTATGGAAAACTAATGAGATTTTCATCTTTAAGTATGTGATTACTCTCAGAAAGATCAGGTGTGTGTGTATGTGTGTGTGTGTGTGTGTGTGTGTGTGTGTGTGTGCATGTGCATGTGTGTGAATATTCATGAGCTGGGCCAGATTCATGGTACATCTGGGAAATTGAAGAATTCTTATTCAAAAGCAGGATCCCATGAACACCAAGTGGCCAGTTATATGGAAATTTATATTCACATAGATAACCTGAACTGATACCATTCATGAATATTTAAGATATTATACAAATCATCACAGAGCGGGGACATTGTATTTTTCTTTGAACACTGATGGCTTTTACAGTAAGAATGAATCATGATGTTTATTTATGATCCATTCATTGATGTCCAAACATTCAATTTCCTCGACTCTACCTCACAACAAGCATCAGAAAACAGATAATTACTTTTGTTAAAGTTTTACTTGCTTGCTAGGTTGCTATTTTTCTTATTTTTTATTAGATACCATAACATTTATGATATAATAGGGATGGGCACACCCTACAGTTTATGATTGTTCACTGAACAAAGCAGCTAAGCTCTCCATATTGCTATCCTTGTGGATTTAAAACTCCAAGTTGACACATTTGAAAATTTTTCTACATGACACATAATAGAAATCTAACCATTTTCATCAAAATGTGTTCATCTACAGATGAGCCATGTATATGAAGTACATGTGCCGACGAGGCACTTTTCAAGTTTACTCAGAACGAGGAAATGATAATGTATGCCCGTCACATTAGCAAGACATGAGCTTGGTATCCAGTATGTTCCGGGGTGTCAGGATACAGGCAGTGTATATAAGGACTTCTGAGCACAGCCATAATTCTGACAGTTCCAGTGTGGACTTGAATGTCTACTGCCAAAACTTGAAACGCCAGGGTCAGTGGCCAGAGTCCAGATCTAATGATACACCCGTGGGAGACAGTCTGACGTTGTTGCCACAATGCACACAGTCTTGGAATCCAGTCCATGTCCCGAGATTTAAAGTGGGAGAGAACTGACCCACAGTCGCATCATCTCCTCAGATGCACCCTCCAAATTCCTAATGAAACAAAATCCCGAGAAAGTGATAGAAATTGCCACACTGCAAGAGTGTTTTCTCAAATTTTATTGAACATACCTAAAACACACAAGAATGTGCAAGAGCATGTATGAAGCACCAAAGCCAACAGGAAAGCTAGAATGCATGCAATCTCAGAACCGTGCTTATTCAGCTGTATTTTTTCTAAAACAGACTATGGACTACCTTTGATTAGTATACGTTGCTTATTAACCTGAAGTTAACAGATTTTCTTTTGCAACTGATAAAGAATAGCACATGGGGATTTACTAATTAATGTCACCCAGCTGTCCATCTGTATCTAGGGTAGATGATGGTGAGGTGACTCTGGGTCACTATGGTGATGATGATAGTGAGGTGACTCTGGGTCACTATGGTGATGATGGTGAGGTGACTCGGTGTCATTATGGTGATGATGATGCTGAGGTGACACTGGGTCACTATGTTGATGACGCTGAGGTGACTCTGGGTCACTATGGTGACGACGCTGAGGTGACTGCTGGGCATTAGTAGAATCACAGAGCTAACCCTGAACACGAGTCTTGCGAGCTTCTTGCCTCAGATCCTCCCTGCTCCCTCCATTTTATTCCCATACAATTAACCAATCTCCAACTGCAAACTTTCCCTCCCCTGATTTGTAAACACTGTAGGGAGGAAGATGCTGTTAACCAAACAGCTGTGCTTACAAATGGGTAAAGAGAGCACATCAGAAAAGGTAAAAGCGTCCGCACGGAAATGTATTTTATGCTGATTTTGATGGCTATTCCCTTCCTCCAGTCTTGGTGGCTATTGTTCATTTGCATTTTCCTGACACCATAATTCTTTAAACCAAATATTTAATCATATCTCTTTTATGATAGAAAAAACAAACCCACATTCTCCAGAACAATATTCATCTTCAGATAGCTAAATATATTATTCATTTAGATAATACTGAAAAATATTTATAGAACTCAGCCTTACTAATTCATGTTCAAGGGATTATTAAAAATATTTCTCTTACAATTACATATTATAATCTTCAAAATTCAATTAATAGCACATGTCACAATATTTCAATATTAAGACAGCAAAGTTAAAAGTTCTTTAACTGAAGCTATTTATGCACAGCTAAATGCTATTTTATAATTACAAAGTAAATTATATTTTCAAAATAAGTTCAAACATTTTTAAAAGATTAAAAAAAAGTGTGTGTGTGTGTATGTGTGTGTGTGTGTGTGTGTGTGTGTGTGTGAATGAGAATGAGGTGTTCTGGGAGCCCGAAGACATCAGATACCTCTGAAGAGAACTTACGGGGAGTTGTCCACCATGAGATGTGCGTATTGGAAACAACCCCTCTCCTCTGTGGGAACAGTGCATACTCTTCAATGTGGAGCTGTTTCTCCAGCTGAAGATGGTCAAATTGTTCACAACTAACAATATCAGTATATCTATTTGGACATAATACATTTTAAATTTTTGATTATATTCCTACAGATTTTCTCTGATTTACTTGGCACTATTTTAATTATGCTGAATTTTATATCATCAGTAATATATCATAAATATTATATTACATTCAAATTGGTCCTACCTTTCCTCTGAATCCTAAAATTAAGACAATTTTACAGTCATACAAACTTCTGGTCTCTTGCTTGTGTTGAGACAACAAGTAAGGTTAGCTCTGATATCCTGTCAATTTTCACAAACTGTGTATTTATCTGTTAGAAAACTATGCTTTGCACAAATTAAGTCCTTTAAAGATGTGCAAGGCCAACTCAGAGTGACTCTGTGGAGAGCAGCCTTGACTTTAGGGCCTTCCGAATGGCATGACTGATAATTGATTCACAGTGCCAAACATCTATTCCTCTTCTTCACGCATTCGGTTTTTCAAAAGTGTGGCCTTGGTCTTCAGTAATCTCTTGTCAAGACTATTCTATTGTTCAGTGTGGATTCTCAAGGGAAGAAAGAAAAATCCAATTTGTAATAGCACAAAAGCAGCCTCTTCCAATGTTGCTAATTCTTTCGA